AGTAGTAGATGCCATTGTTCTAGGGTATGGTTGGCTGGTAGAAGGTTTGCTCTCCCGACCATTTCAAGACTGCGCACGTAACGGGAAAGGTAAATGAGTGGGGGAAAGAAACCCAAGCTCTGTCGAATATTGCTTAAACTGAGCCACATGGTGCGTTTGTGGCATTTACCCATGGAGTCGAGCATCACTGGACTTACTTGAAGTACACTATCCCTGATATCGGATCCCTCCTATACCCTCTGGAAGAAGTCATCAGGGTCGCTTTTATCCCAACAATAATGAAAAGACATTATTTAACCCCAGCAGAAAGGTCACTCCATGCATTACCACCGAGACCGGGAAGAATGGGATTGATTAATCCAGAGGAGCTTGCTGCCACCAAACATCAGAACTCTTGTCAAGCTCACGGCAGCCCTCTCTGAGCACATTATAACTCAGAATGCAGCAAGTCAGGTGGACTTAAACAAGATTCGACAGTCTATTACGACAGAACGGCAGCACACCCAAAGTGATAAACTTCAACAGCTGATGATGCGATTATCAGAGAACTTGAAAAAAAGTATCTATAGTGCTAGAGGTGGGCGCTCCGAACTGGCTAACATTGTTACCGATAAGGGCAAAAGGAGGAGGAGGAGGTGGAATACAGTAGTAGTAGCAGCAGGAGGAGGAGCAACAGCAGGAGGAATACAGCAGCAGTAGCAGCAGCAGGAATACAGCAGCAGCAGCAGGAGGAATACAGCAGCAGCAGCAGGAGAAATACAGCAGGAGGAGGATGAGGAGGAATACAGTAGTAGCAGCAGGAGGAGGAATGCAGTAGTAACAGCAGCAGCAGGAGGAGGATGAGAAATGCAATAGCAGCAGCAGGAGGAGGAGGAATACAATAGCAGCTGGAGGAGGATGAATACAGTAGTTGTAGCAGTAGCAGCAGCAGCAGCAGCACGAAGAGCGGAGGTGGAGGAATACAGCAGTAGCAGGAATACAGCAGCAGCACCAGGAGCAGCAGAGCAGCAGCAGCAGCAGCAGAAGGAGAAGGAATACAGTAGCAGCAGGAGGAGGTGCAGGAGGAGCAGCAGCAGTAGGAGGAGGACGAGGAGCAGCAGCAGCAGCAGGAGTAATTCAGAAACAACAGCAGCAGCTGGAGGAGGTGGAATACAGTAGTAGCATCAGCAGGAGGAGGAGGAATACAATAGCAGGAGAAGTAGAAGGAGCAGCAGCAGGAGGAATACAGAAGCAGCAGCAGGAGGAGGAGGAGGAGGAGGAGGTGGAATACAGTAGTAGCAGCCGCAGCAGGAGGAATACAGTAGTAGCACCAGGAGTAAGCAGTGTGAGGAGGAGGAGGAAAAGTGCAGCAGCAGGAGGAGGAATACAGTAGTGTGGCAGAGGAGGGCAGCAGCAGCAAGGAGGAGATACAACAGTAGCAGCAGGAGGAGGAGGGAGGATGAAGAGGAGGAATACAGCAGCAGCAGCAGCAGCAGGGGAGGAGCAGCATATTTTGGGAGGAGGATGAAGGTACAGCAGCAGCAGGAGGAGGAGGAGGGAGGAGGAGGGAGGAGGAGGCAGCAGCCCACCCAGGAGGAGGAGGATGAAAAGGAGGAATACAGCAGCAGCAGGAGGGAGGAGAGGAGGAGGAGGAGGAATACAGCAGCAGCAGGAGGAGGAAGGGAGGAATACAGTAGTAGCAGCAGCAGGAGGAGGAGGAGGAATACAGCAGCAGCAGCAGCAAGGACAGGAGGAATACAGCAGCAGGAGGAGGGAGGAGGAATCGCAGCAGCAGCAGAGGAAGTGGAGGAGGAGGAGGGAGGATGAACGAATACAGTAGTAGAAGCAGCACCAGTAAAAGCAGCAGGAGGAGGAGGAGCAGCAGCAGCAGGAAGAGGAGTAGGAGGAATACAGCAGCAGCAGCAGTAGGAGGAGGAGAGGAGGAATACAGCAGCAACAGCAAAAGCAACAGGAGGAGGAGAAATGTGGTAGTAGCAGCAGCAGCAGGAGGAGGAGGAGATGGGGAGGAATACAACAGCAGCAGCAGTAGGAGAAGGAGGAGGAATGCAGTCAGTAGTAACAGCAGCAACAGCAGGAGGAGGAGAATACAGTAGTAGCAGCAGGAGGAGGATGAGGAATACAGCAGAGGAGCAGGAGGAGGAATACAGTAGCAGCAGGAGGAGGAATACAGCAGCAGCAGCAGCAGCAGCAGGAGGAGTGGGAGGAATACAGCAGGAGGAGGAGGCACAGCAGCAGCAACAGTAGGAAGTGGAGGAGGAGGGGGAGGAATACAGTAGTAACAGCAGCAGCAGGAGGAGCAGTAGCAGCAGCAGGAGGAGGAGGGAGGAGCAGGAGGAGGAGGAGGGAGGAGGAGGAGGGAGGAGGAGGAGGAGGAGGCAGCAACAGCAGAAGGAGGGAGGAGGAGGAGGAGGAGGAGGAGGAGGAGGAGGAGCAGCAGCAGCAGCAGCAGCAGCAGCAGTAGTAGTAGTAGTAGTAGTAGTAGTAGTAGTAGTAGTAGCTGCACTAGGAGGAGGAATACAACAGCAGCAAAGCAACAGGAGGAGGAGGAGAAATGTGGTAGTAGTAGCAGGAGGAGGAGGAGGAGGAGGAGGAGGAGGAGGAGGAGATTCAGCAGCAGCAGGGAAGAGGGGGAGGACAGAATACAGTAGTAGTAACAGCAGCAGGAGGGAGTAGAAGGAGCAGCAGCAGGAGGAGGAGGAGGAGGAGGAGGAGGAGGAGGAGGAGGCAGCAGCAGCAGTAGCAGCAGAAGGAGGAGGAGGAGGAGGAGGAGGAGGAGGAGGAGGAGGAGCAGCAGCAGCAGCAGCAGCAGCAGCAGCAGCAGTAGTAGTAGTAGTAGTAGCAGCAGCTGCACTAGGAGGAGGAATACAACAGCTGCAGCAAAGCAACAGGAGGAGGAGGAGAAATGTGGTAGTAGTAGGAGGAGGAGGAGGAGGAATTCAGCAGCAGCAGGGAGGAATGCAGTATTAGTAACAGCTGGAGGATCAGGAGGAGGAGGAGGAGGACAGCAGCAGCAGCAGCACGGGAGGATGAGGAAGAGGAGGAATACAGCAGCAGCAGCAGAGGAGGATGAGGCGGAGGAACAGCAGCAGCAGCAGGATGAGGGCTGGGGGAGGGGAAGGAATAACAGCAGCAGCAGCAGAAGGAAGAGGGGAAGGACGAATACAGTAGTAGTAACAGCAGCAGGAGGAGTAGAAGGAGCAGCAGCAGGAGGAGGAAGAGGAGGATGAGCAGCAGCAGCAGCATCAGGTGGAGGAGGAGGATGAGGGATACAGCAGAGTAGCAGGAGGAGGAATACAGTAGTAGCAGCAACAGCATCAGGCGGAGGAGGAGGAATACAGCAGGAGGAGAAGGAGGAATACAGTAGTAGCAGCAGCAGGAGGAGGATGAGGGATACAGCAGAGTAGCAGGAGGAGGAATACAGTAGTAGCAGCAACAGCATCAGGCGGAGGAGGAGGAATACAGCAGGAGGAGAAGGAGGAATACAGTAGTAGCAGCAGCAGGAGGAGGATGAGGGATACAGCAGAGTAGCAGGAGGAGGAATACAGTAGTAGCAGCAGCAGCATCATGCGGAGGAGGAGGAATACAGCAGCAGGAGGAGGATGAGGAGGATGAGGGATACATCAGAGGAGCAGAAGGAGGAATACAGTAGTAGCAGCAGCTGGAGGAGGATGAGGGATACAGCAGAGAAGCTGGAAGAGGAATACAGCAGCAGCAGCAGCAACATCAGGCGGAGGAGGAGGAATAGAGTAGCAGCAGAAGCAGGAAGAGAGAAATAATAAAGCAGAGGCAGCAGCAGCAGCTGCAGGAGGAGGAAGAAAGCAGCAGCAGCAGCAGGAGGAGGAGGAGGAGGAGCAGGAGGAATACAGTAGTCGCAGCAGCAGCAGAGGAGGAGTTCTATTGTAGTAGCAGGAGGAGGAGGAGGAATACAGTAGTAGCAGCAGCAGCAGGAAAATACAGTAGTAGCAGTAGCAGGAGTAATACAGTAGCAGCAGTAGCAGCAGCAGCTCAGGAGGAGGAGGAGGAGGAGGAGGAATACAGTGGTAGTAGCAGCAGCAGGAGAAGAGGAATACAGTAGTAGTAGCAGCAACAGCTGAGGAGGAGGAGGAGGAGGAATACAGCAGCAGAAGCAGATGCAGGAGGAGGAAGAGGAATACAGTGGTAGCAGCAGCAGGAGGGAGGAGGAGGAATACAGCAGCAGGAGGAGAAAGGAGGAGGATGAGGGATACAACAGAGGAGCAGGAGGAGGAGGGATACAGCAGAGGAGCAGGAGAAGGAGGAATACAGTAGTAGCAGCAGGGAGAAGGAGGAATACAGTAGTAGCAGCAGCAGCAGGAGGAGAAGGAGGAGGACAGCAGAGGAGCAGGAGGAGGAATACAGCAGCAGCAGCAGCAGCAACATCATGCGGAGGAGGAGGAGGAATACAGTAGCAGCTGAAGCGGGAGGAGGAGGAGGAGGAGAAATGATACAAGCAGAAGCAGCAGCAGCAGCTGCAGGAGGAGGAGGAGGAGGAACAACAGCAGCAGCAGGAGGAGGAGGAGGAGGAGGAGGAGGATATATCAGCAGGAGGAGGATGAGGAGCAGGAGGAGGAATACAGTAGTCGCAGCAGCAGCAGCAGCAGCAGGAGGGGGAGGAGGAATATTGTAGTAGGGAGGAGGAGGAGCAGCAGCAGGAATACAGTAGTAGCAGCAGCAGCAGGAATAATACAGTAGTAGCAGCAGTAGCAGCAGGAGTAATACAGTAGTAGTAGTAGCAGCAGCAGCTCCAGGAGGAGGAGGAGGAGGAGGAGGAATACAGCAGCAGGTGCAGGAGGAGGAATATAGCAGAAGGTGCAGGAGGAGGAGGAGGAATACAGTGGTAGTAGCAGCAAAAGGGAGAAGGAGGAATACAGTAGTAGTAGCAGCAACAGTTCCAGGAGGAGGAGGAATACAGCAGCAAAGCAGGTGTAGGAGGAGGAAGAGGAATACAGTGGTAGCAGCAGCAGAAGGAATACAGTAGCAGGAGGAGGAGGAATACAGTAGTAGCAGCAGCAGCAGGAGGAATACAGTAGTAGTAGTAGCAGCAGCAGGGAGGAGGAATGCAGTAGTAGCAGCAGCATCAGGAGGAATACAATAGTAGTAGTAGCAGCAGCAGGGAGGAGGAGGAATACAGTAGTAGCAGCAGCAGCAGGAGTAATACAGTAGTAGCCGCAGTAGCAGCAGGAGTAATACAGTAGTAGTAGTAGCAGCAGCAGCTCCAGGAGGAGGAGGAGGAAGAATACAGTGGTTGTAGCAGCAGCAGGGAGAAGGAGGAATACAGCAGCAGAAGCAGGTGCAGGAGGAGGAAGAGGAATATAGTTGTAGTAGCAGCAGGAGGAATACAGCAGCAGGAGCAGGAGGAGGAGGAGGAGGAGGAATACAACAGCAGCAGCAGGAGGAGGAATACAGTGGTAGTAGTAGTTGTAGTAGTAGTAGTAGTAGTAGTAGAGTAGCAGCAGCTGCAGTAGGAGGAGGAAGAGGAGGAGGAGGAGGAGGAGGAATACAGTAGTAGTAGTAGCAGCAGCAGGAGGAGGAATACAGCAGCAGAAGCAGGTGCAGGAGGAGAAGGAGGAGGAATACAACAGCAGCAGCAGCAGGAGGAGGAGGAATACAGTGGTAGTAGTAGTTGTAGTAGTAGTAGCAGCAGTAGCAGCCCAGAAGTTGTGTCATGGACTTCTTGAGGTGTCGCTTAACCTTCTCTTTGCTCAGGTCTGCTCTCAAGAGAAAAAGACCTTTGGCATACTCGCAGTCATAGACTATGAGGCAACAGATTCGGAATGCCGCAGAGATCTGCGGCTTAACTAACTCAGCTAGTGTAACTGTGTATGCTTGCACTTTTTATTTTTTCAGATGAGCTGGACTACAGTCGGAGGGCAAGGAGCAAAGTGCCAATCCGAAGTCGCCTGCCAGCCCTCCATCTTTCACCCTCCAGGGGCCGCAGGTGGAGGGCCGCTCCCGGTATGTCCTATCCCACCATTAAAACAAAAGTGGATAGTAGACAAAACTCCTTAAGCCCTAAAACTGTGACATTGAGTCGGCTCTCTCTCTCTTCCTCTCTATCCTGCATAGAATTAAATCCAACCATTTGTTTAGTCTACTACCTCTCCCACCATTATTTCCACCTATGATCATGACAACATACATTCAACCTTGAAGAAAATAGAAATTGTCTTCAATGGGCAGCGAGTACATATTTATGGATGTCTCTTTTTGTCAGAGTATAAATATAATGTATGTAAGATAGAGTTTCTGTACCGTATACACTAACAGTAATTGCACATTGCATTTTTCTTTAATAGAAGCTGAAATTCATTTCTGCATCAAAGGCGTCACGATCCAATTTATCGAGTTTATGATTGGAAGCAGAGCAACAGCTGACGTGATGAAACGCCTGTTCACAGTAGAATTAAAAATCTTGTGTATTTTCCCACTGTCTGACATAAAACTCAAAATTAGTTTCATAAAGCTTTTAATGTATTATGTGTGTCGGTTGCAAAGCATATTAGCTGTGGAATAATCTTTTGAGTATAGTAGAACATTAGACCATTTTTCAACAGTTGTATTCTTTGTGACTTAATTGCGCAAACATAATAATATGCGGAAGGTGGGATTATAATAGGGAGAATTAATTAGAATATCTAAAAAGCAAGGAAGTTCATTATGCTTAACAAGAGAAATATTGTGTTGGCTTCTTCATCGGTAATGTTTGTGAACTCCGCCTCTAATTAGTTAGGTTCAATCGGGTGTGTGGCCAGCCTCATATTGACGAGGTTCAGCCAGTCTTATGCAACATAACCAAAATGTAGTTCTGTAATTTGAAACTTTGACTTACGATCTTTCTAATTGCCGTAAGTTCGAACTTAAGAGAAAAAAATAACTTAAAAGTAGATACTTGAGAGCTTTTGAGAATTAGAATGATCGTAAGTTATTTTTTTTCTCTAGGTATCTACTTTTAAGTTATTTTTTCTCTTAAGTTCGAACTTACGATCTTTCTAATTCTCAAAAGATCGTAAGTATCTACTTTTCGGGAAAGTAGATTATCTACTTTTCGGGAAAGTAGATTATCTAATTTTCGTGAAATTTTCCGAATATTTTCGGGAAATTTAACGAAAATTTCCCGAAAATATATATATCAGTTTCGGTGTACAGTACTGTATTGCATTATGTTTTTAGTGTAGGCTAAATATACAACATATGTACATGGTATAGAAATCTTAAAAAAAAAAAAATTACCTTTGCTTAAGGCTGAATATCTTCATTCCCTAAGCTGCAGTCTTCTTCCCCCACTGTGTGTGTGACTTGATGTGCCCATGCATACTTTTCTGTAGATCGGATATTTTTCAGTATTGGCTGATTGCTCTTTAGAAAGGTATAGACGTCACTGCAAGATGTTTCTCGGAAGTTATACTGTACAGTCAGAATGCCTTTCATTGTTTCAACACTCAATTTGTTCCTTTCCTTTGTCCACTGACTTTGCATCAGTGAAAAAACTCTTTCTACATTTGCATTGTGAGATGATACAGCAAAGAATTGTGCAATTCTTATCAATTTTGAGTGGCATTCAATGTTCTTTGATTTTTCAAAGTATCTGGTCCACTTTTTATGTTGGCAGACAAACCCACAACAAAGACTAAGATCAAACACTGTCACTGCAGTCTGCAGGTTAATGACTGGCCAACCACCGGTCACCATCATAGTTGTCAATGTACGTAAATAATATAGCGAAAGTCCCTAGATTATGGTTGAAAATTGCTAAAATGCCTTAAATGCAGGACAAGAAAACCAAATGCTACAGTGTAAAAAAAAGCCATAAGAAAAAAATGGTATACTCTCAACATTTCATTTATGGCTGTAATAGCACTAAATACAAAAAATATATATATATAATAATGCGTGTGGCTGAAGAACAAGGAAAAGCAGTACAGTACATGGCAATACATGCTAGCCCAAAAACTGCTAGCAGCTAAGTTGACAACACCGTACAGGCGTACACATGACTTACCAGCTGACGAAAACTGAACGAGATCTCTATGGTTTCCACCTCCCCTCTCTCACAGAATCTCTCTCTCGTCATTACAGTTTCATATTTTTTTCCGTGGAGAAAATGATGGAAGCTGAAATTCCGGACTTTTGAAGAGTTTTAAAAATTACTTCTGGATGAAGATTTCGAGACCAAAATGGAGGACATGTCCGGGAAAATACGGAGGTATGGTAACCCTATCCAATACCCTTCTTAGCGTCCATTTGCTCCTTGGGAGAGGATGTCCAGATAGGATGACGATGTCTCCAGTGAGGAAGCTGCAGTGCGCCCGGAAGTGCTTCTGTCGCCGCTGGAGTGTCAGGAGATATTCCTTCACCCACCTCTCCAGAATTGGTCACCACCTCTTCCAGAATTGGTCACCACCTCTTCCAGAATTGGTCTGCAATGAATTGGGCCTGCTTCCATTTTCGTCTACACTTCTGCTATGGACTGATCGCCTCCAGTGGGCAGGGTTCCCGCGTGCATTCGTGCATTCGCAGTAGGTGAACCAGCGCGAGTGCTTCTAGGTCTCTCGGGTCGTCGGATATTGGGGTGATGGGTCTCCCGTTGACGATCTCTTCCACGACACAGAACAGGGTGTGGGGTCGCTCGTCGTCTAGTACCTGTGTGCCCGTCACCCCATGGAGAACCTTCTTCACCGTGCGGATCTGACGCTCCCATACTCCACCGAAGTGAGAGGCAGTCGGAGGGTTGGACTCCCATTCTATCTGTCTCTGCAAGAGTGTGTTCCTAACATTGTCACTGCTGTTCCTCTTACTCACCGCCTCCTGAAGTTCTCTGTTCGCTCCAATCATGTTGTTTCCATTGTCGGATCTGATGCACTTGGGAGGTCCTCTGCGGGATGTGAACCTCGTCATGGCATTGATGAATGAGTCTGTGTTCAGTGAGGTAAGGACTTCCAGGTGTATAGCTTGGATGGCCAGACATGTAAACAAGCATCCCATCTTTTCACCCGGGCCCGGCCTTGTTTAACCACGAAGGGACCAAAACAGCCACACCTTTCAGCAGCTAATGCCATGAGGAGTACCTTGTCCATAGCCTTTTTAGGGTACTCTTCCCCCTGGTCAGTGCTCATTGCCAGTACTGTTGCATCTCCTTTTACCTCTGGGTCTCCATCTGCAAGGTTAGGAATCGGCTTTGGGTTCTTTGGCCAATTGTTTTCTCCCAACAGGAGAAAGGGGGGTCCCTGAATCCATCTGCAGTCCTTGTTCAATTCTGCCCCATGCAGTCCACGGCTGGCATCATCAGCTGGATTTTGGTTGGAGCTCACATGTCGCCATTGTTCTGCGTCGGAATTCTCATGGATATCGTTGCAATTCAGTTTGCCACAAAGGCATGGTTCAGCTTTTCGTATGTAGTGAAGGGTGACCATGCTGTCTGTCCAGAACACTGATCTGTCGATCTGCAACTCTAGTTCTTCTCTCAGTTGTTTGTCTGCTTTGGCCGCCAACACTGCCGCACATAGCTCGAGCCGAGGTATGGTTTGCCGTTTCAGAGGAGCTAGCTTGGCTCTGCCACACACTTAGGAGGTAGAGTGGGCTCCGTCTCCACTTTTGATCCTGAGGTAGGATTCAGCCCGTAGGCTTGCTCGGAGGCATCGCAGAAGTGGTGCAGTTGTACCGTAGTCATTGGATTTGCGTATTCAGGGTGGTAACATCGAGGGATGCGTACTTGAGACAAGTGGGGAAGTTTATTTAGCCACTGCCGCCAAGCTGCTCTGTTGTGTTTGGTCATTTGCTCATCCCACCCGATGCCTCACCTGCACTCGTACTGGAATATGATTTTGGCTTGTATGGTGCTCGGAGCGATGATTCCTAATGGGTCGTATATGGAGCTGACCATACTCAGGAGACCTCGCTTCGTTGGGATCTGGATTCGGACTGCAAGTTTGTCATTCTCAACATCCCACATGATTCCTAATGCTCGCTCAGCTGGGAGCCTGTCATCCTTCAAAAGTACTGTACTGTACTTCTTTCACTTCCATGGCTCTTTCCATTTGTGGGACTACTCTAATGACCCCTTTGTGGTTGCAGATCCATTTTGTAAGTTTGAACCCACCTTTCTTCATCAACTGCTTCAGTTGGTGAGTGACTATCGCCGCCTTCCCTGGTGATGCTACTAAAAGAAGCAGATCATCGACATAGGTGTTGGGACTTGCTTTCTTAATTTCTTCCTGGAGCCTTTGCCTGTGGTCTTGGAATGTTCATCGTAGTGCATATCCAGCACATGATGGCTCCACACTCCCCCGAAGAGATGTACCTTCTTCCAGTAAGTGACTGGGTCTCCCGAGAGTTGGTCGTCTCTCCACCACAGGAAGCGCAGGGCGTCTCGATGCTCAGGCAGTACTCGTACCTGGTGGAACATAACCTCGATATCAGCCATGAGTGCCACCCTTTCTTGTCGGAACCTAATGAGGATTCCCATCAATTTGTTGTTGAGGTCTGGCCCTTGCATCACTTGGCTGTTCATGGACACTGACTCATGCGTTGCTACACAGTCAAAAACTATTCTCAACTTCCCGGGCTTATTTTGGTTCAATACTGGGTGATGTGAGAGATACCAGGTTTTCCCCGGCACAATGGTAAGCTCACGGTGTGGGATTCTCTCAGCATATCCCTTGTTGATCAGGTTTTGCATCTCTTCTCGATATCTTTGGTGGAGGTTTGGTGTACTGCGCACATCATTGTCATTCCTAAAAACCCATTTTAATTCATATTACGCTACATAACATTCAAATCCACCGCGCTTGTAGAATCTCAGGAGAGACGTGTTTTTCCCATCTGTTTTACCCTCAGTAAGTCCCGCCTTCGAACACAGTTGTCACTACGTTTATTGCACTCTCTACTGGCAAACGCAACCTTGAATTAGTCTGTGTAAATCAACTTTAGTAATTCGCCAGACCTTTGTCAAGTGAGGG